GGCAAGTTACCAAGAGTATCCCACCTGCACGGCAGAGCCTGACAAGCTCCCCATGGAGTATTCGATATGCCAAAACAGTAAGAACAAGTCTCACAATGGGAGACGTTACTGGTGCCCACTTGAGCAAATTGATGAACAACGGAAAGACAGTGCTACAGTGCTACAGTCTTGCAGGGAAGGGCATTTCAATATCTGGCGGTGCTCAGAGCATACTTCTGGTTCTGTGCTCAGGGGTCACTCCTGGAGGGTTTCAGGGAATCTCATATGGTTAGCCTGAGTCAGCTGGGTGCAAGGGAAGTGCTTTAGCTTCTCTGCCGTCTTTCCAATTCAAACAAGGAAGTCTGAAAGTGTGAGTTTCATCTCTCAAACAAGTCTTCCTGGGAGAAAGACCTATTGAATCTAAGGCCTAGGCATCATTCTGAGACCGGATCCTGAGGGAGTCTGGGCTCCGGGCAGATACAGTGTCCAGCCCCAATCAGCCAGCACCTCTCCCTGCTCCATTTCTCTCAGTGTCTGCTAGATCCTAGAGCAGGTGCTCACTGGGTCTGCATGCCTCTGTGCTCTCGAAGCAGGAGTGGTGACAGCTGGTTCCTGTGCTGGTCCATGCTTCCCAGATTCTTCACTGTTTTCAGGAATGAAAATATTGAGTGATAAAAGTGCTCAGACTCAGAGTTACAAAGTAGAAAAGTTTATGGGAAAGTAGAAGAGAAAGGAAAAGGAACTCCCTAAGTGGGGAGGAACTTAGCATAGGACTTAGTGAACTATGGCTCATTTTTTTTTTGGTGGGGGGTGGGGGTGGGGTGTTTATAGGAAAACTGGGTCTTTGTGTTACAGATCATGTGGGAAGTTAAAGATAGGAATGTTTTGCCTAGCCCCTTTCAACGAAAATTGGGCTCTTTATATTTCTTATGTCTGGCCATCTGCTTTAGGTGTTGCTCACCATCTTAGTCTCCCAGTGAGCCCAAGTTCAAGGGGGGAATTTTATGGTCTTGGGGAATTGTTAAATTCCTCTTTATTAGAAAGAGCTGAGGGATTCACAGGAACATTAAAAATGTAGGATAGGGACAGTCAAAAATGGGACTACTCCCAGCAGCTGGCAAAGGGAAACTGAGGCTTTCTCTTTCATTCCCATGAAGAAGGGCTTGTCCCGGTCTGGAGCATTGTCTCTTCAGGGAAACAACTCAGGGCCTGTGAGTCATACTGAGAGAGGAAAAAGGACCTGAGCCCAGAAGCAACTGGGGTTCAGGGGGCTGGGGCCAGAGGAAGTTCTCTACTCAGGACGTCGGGAGTAAATGGAGGGTGAGGACGGCCATGGGGTGCTGTGGGGCTGGGAGGAGAAAAGCATGAAAAGGAGAGAGGGAGACTGAAGTGGCCGCAGGAGCCCAGAGTGGTTGCCCAGTAACATCAGGGGCACGCTGAGTTGGGTGGGGAGCCTGGTCTCAGGCCACAGCTGTCTATTCTCCCACAGGTTCAGTGGGGGAGAGCCCAGGGATGGGGTTGGCAGAGTTGAATTTCACCAGGGTTGTGGTTTAGACACATAAACGTGCTGATCTGGGTCCTGGGCTGCCGCTGCAGTAAGTAGAGCGAGTTCCTTGTAAGCAGGAGACTGGCGAAGCTGCAGGTTTGCTCTCCTGGCACTAGCACTCTTGCCTGAGTGCCATCACAGCAGCCCTGCTGAGTGGGATCCCCTGGCCACAGCAAAGTGTGGCACCCTTGGTGGGGAGGTGGCTCATTGTAGTGACGCCCCAGATTCGACACCCAGCACTGAGGTGAGACCCTCAGGTTTTGGTGCGTTCAGCACTGCATGGACCCTCAGATCTGCTGAGCCTGAGCAGCTGCCTACTGGGTAAGCACTGCCTACTGAGTAGAGGTGGACGTAGTCCCCAGAGTCCCCAGAAAAAATGACCAAGTAAAGGCTGGAGGGGATAAGGCACTTGTTTTGCATGTGGCTGACCCAAGTTCGCCCCCTCATATGGCACAGGGTTCCCTGAATATGAGTAGGAGTGATCCTTGAGCATTGAGCCAGGAGTAATTCCTAAACATTGTTGGGAGCTGCCCGCAAACCAAATAATAGTAATACTTTTTTAAAAAGTGTGTGAACTCCAATGCATCACAGCCCACTGTGTGTGAACACCATGAGTGTGAAATTCAGCAAATACTGCAACTAAAAGCTCTGCAACTAGGAGCATTCATGTGGCACCAGTGAATCCTGACACAGAAAGAACAGAAGGGGGAAATTTTTGTAAGGGACAGATGTGGCTCAGTGGTAGAGTATGTCCCTCACATTAGAAAAAAAAAATGTGAATCTTCCAAGTAAAAATCTCCAATCAGGGAATTGAGATTTCTTTCTTTCTTTCTTTCTTTCTTTCTTTCTTTCTTTCTTTCTTTCTTTCCTCTTTCTCTCTCTCCTTCCCTTTTCCTTCCTTCTTCCCTTCCTTCTTCCTTTTTGTGAAGCAGGTATTTTTTAAAATTAATTTTATTGAGTCACCGTGAGATAGTTATAAGCTTTCATGTTTGGGTTACAATCACACAATGATCAAACACCCATCCCTCCATCAGTGCACATTCCCCACCACCAATATCCCCGGTATAACCCTCCTTTCCCACCCTCCCTCTGCCTCCATGGCAGATATGATTCCCCATAAGCTCTCTCTACTTTGGAGCATTATGGTTTGCAATACAGACCCTGAGAGGTTATCATGTTTGGTCCTTTATCTACTTTCTGCACACATCTCCCATCCTGACCGATTCCTCCAGCCATCTTTTCCTTAGTTATCCCTTCTCTATTCCAGCTGTCTTCTCCCCTTTGCTCATGAGACAGGCTTCCAGCTATGAAGCAATCTATCTGTCTGTCCCATGTATCTACTATCCTTAGGAGTCAGCCTCATGTTATGTTGTTTTATACTCCACAAATGAGTGTACTCCTTCTATGTCTGTCCCTCTCTTTCTGACTCATTTCACCTAGCATGATACTCTCCATGTCTATCCATTTGTAATCAAAGTTCATGATTTCATCTCTCCTGACAGCTGCATAGTATTCCATTGTATAGATGTACCAAAGTTTCTTTAACCAGTCATCTGTTCTAGGGCACTTGGGTTTTTTCCAGATTTGGGCTATTGTGAACAGTGCTGCAATGAACATATAGGTACAGATGTCATTTCTACTGTGCTTTTTTTGCATCCTCGGGATATATTCCCAGAAGTGTTATTGTGGGGTCATATGGAAGCTCAATTTCTAGTTTTTGAAGGACTGTCCATATTGTTTTCCAGAAAGGATGGACTAGTGGGCATTCCCACCAACAGTGAAAGAGTGTCCCTTTTCCGCCACATCCACACCAGCACTGGTTGCTTTTGTTCTTTTGAATGTATGCCAGTCTCTGTGGTGTGAGATGATATATCATTGTTGTTTTGATTTGCATCTTCCTGATGGCTAGCGATGTGGAGCATTTTTTTCATGTGCCTTTTGGCCATTTGTATTTCTTTTTTTGAGGAAAATTCTGTTCATTTCTTCTCCCCATTTTTTAATGGGGTTGGAGGCTTTTTCCCGTGTACAATTCTACTAGTGTCTTGTATATCCTGGATATTAACCCCTTATCAGATGGGTATTGGGTAAATATTCTTTCCCATTCTGTAGGCTCTAGCACAGCGGGTAGGGCGTCTGCCTTGCACGAAGCCAACATGGCCGACCCGAGTTCGATTCCTCCGCCCCTCTCGGATAGCCTGGCAAGCTACCGAGAGTATTCGATATGCCAGACACAGTAACAACAAAGTCTCCAATGGAGACGTTACTGGGCCCGCTCGAGCAAATCGATGATCAACGGGAGGGCCTTTACTTTACTTTTCTTTTGAAGTGCAGAAGCTTCTTAGTTTGATGTAGCCCCATTTATGTTGAAGCAGGTACTTTTTGTTGAAAAATTTTAAAGATGTGAGGAGACAGAGAGAGAGAGAGAGAGAGAGAGAGAGAGAGAGAGAGAGAGAGAGAGAGAGAGAGAGGTATGTATTCTAGAGAGAACATAGGCTTCTCCAGAATGGTAATAAGCAAACACAGAAGCAGAGAGAAGCAAGTGAGATACACGTGTACATGTGTTCAAGCGAGAACACGGGCTTGAAGAACAAGCGGTGGAGGTGAGTTTTTTTTTACAGAGGAATGATGACTAAGTAATGGTTGCATTGTCACCAGTGCACAGAGTTGAGTGAGGATTTTGGAGGTGGCAGGAAGCCAGCGCTGGGGTCAGTGCTGAGTAACGGGGGACCTATGGATGGAGAAAGCAGGAGCCCTGGGCTGCAGCTTAAACAGTTCATCCGCTGGAAGGAAACCAGATGTGACACAAGGTGGTGCTAAGGGCTGTTACCTCTCAAGGCTGGAGCGCTTAGCCTTTCCTCCACGTTGAGAGTGAGGACGTTGCAGGGGCTCTCTTGGACAGCTCTCTGGGGAACAATTTGGACCGAGACTCCACCTCCGGCCCCCTGCTGTTCTGGAGAAAGCCAAGGCGGGTTCGCGAGGGCTCGGAGCCTGGCGGTGCTGGGCAACCGGCCGGTCCACAGTGCCGCACGAGAAGGCAGAACCGGGCTCCAGGCTCGGCGCGCCCCGTCTGCGACCGCCTGCGCTCGCAGTCCCCGGCCACGGTCCCCCAGCCCTCTGCCCGCCCTCCTTCGCGTCTCCGTCCCTCTGTCCGCCTGACGTCCCGAGTAGGCGCTAGGGTCGGCTCTGTTGCCTATTCCCTATTGCCTATTCTCTGATCCCTATTCCCCGAGCGCGCGCTGAGCGCCCACCCGCAGCAGGACCCGACGACTGAGCCGCGCGCCCCGCGGTGGGGTCTGGCGCGTCCTTTGCAAGCGGCGAGCGCTGCCCAGCGCCCCCGCTGGCGCCCATCTGACCCCTGTCCCGCCCCGACACCACGGGCAGGGCGGGTCCCGGCGGGCAGGGGCGGGAGAGGAGGGTCCGCCCCGAGGGTGTCCGGTGTCTTCCGAGAGAGGGCCTCTCCCTTGCCCTGGCGACTTCTTCCTGGGGCAGCAGCGAGGGCGACGCTCCCGTTTGGCGTGGCCGAGGCAGGTCCTTGCTCGGTGGTGCCGGGGCCCGTGTGCTGCCCGGGGCGGCTCAACCATGCTGTGCTGCCTGCTGGTGAGGGCCAGCGATCTCCCCAGCGTGAAGAAGGACCGGCGCAGCGACCCGGTGGCCAGCCTGACGTTCCGAGGTGAGAGCCCGTGTGGCCGCTGCGCCCGGCGCCTGCCCGCGCCTCTCGTCTGTCTGTCGGGGTGCCCTGCCTGTCCCGGTATCCGACAGAAACCTCAGCGCAGGCTTCTGCAGAGGGGCGGGGAGCGGGAACTGCTCGCCGTGGCCTTGTGCTCTAAAAGTCTGGAGAGCGACAAGGTCCGTAGATTCTAAGACCCATTCCAGATGAACTGAAAACAAAAACCCCAAAAAGACCCCAAAACAAAAAACCCAAACCAAAATACCTCGGGGCAATAGGGATAAGAGTGGGTGTTGATTGGGGCTAGGAATGGGATCGCTTAAACGCAGAACCTAAATGCGGGGCCTCTCCAGGTTCCTTTGAAAGTTGCGTCTATTTCATTCATTCATTCATTCATTCATTCATTTGCCATCTTTCGGCAACACCAGCCTTATGGAATCTACTTCTCACTTGGGAGGAAAAGGAACAGGTAGACTAGGACGGACAAGGTCCTGACAGGAGGAATTTTGAGGGTTTCTAAGGGTGCTATTCCAAATGTAAAGAAGCCCCTAAAGCCTCCCTATGCTGCTTAGTGAGGAGGTTCTGTGGGATAACAAAGGACACCCTCCTCCCTTATCAGCAATCACCCTAACCCGCTTCAAGGCAGACATTCCCACGGGAGGAGGTGTCTCGGGAGGGGGAAAGGGAAGAGGAAGAATCTGTCGAATTTCAGAGAAGAAACAATGGCTGTGAGTCAGGACCCCAGTTCTGCAAAGAAAGATAAATAAGAAGAGAGAGGCTTTCTTCTTACCACGAGGCATGTGCTATGGTCTTGTGCAGTTTAAAAATATCTATATGGAGCAAGAGTGATAGTACAGGGGGTAAGGTGCTTGCTTTGTGCACAGCCCACCCTGGGTTGATCCTTTCTACACCATATGGTCCCCTGAGCCCACCAGGAGTGATCCTTGAGCACAGAGCCAGGAGTAAGTCCTGAGAAGCACTGGGTATGGCCTCCCCCAATTCAATTCCGTGTCATTAAAGATACTTCAGTATAGATTGATAAGCAGCTGGTGTTTCCCTGAGGTATGAAAACTGCAGAGATAGGACTGGAGCGATAGCACAGAGGATGGGGTGTTTGCCTTGCATGCAGCCGACCCGGGTTCGATTCCCAGCATCCCATATGGTCCCCCAAGCACCACCAGGAGTGGTTCCTGAGTGCATGAGCCAGGAATAACCCCTGTGCATCGCCGGGTGTGACCCCCCAAAAAAAGAAAACTGCAGAGATCACAAGAGGACCCTTAGCTCTGACCCATGATCTCCCTCTGTTCCCCAAGCCTCCCACCCAAATACATAATAATTACAAGCTTAGATGAAAGACATAATAATTTGGCAAAGTGAGAATGTGACTTTTTTTGATCATGGGACAGTTTGCAGTCTATTGTTTGAAAAGTGTCTTGAAATTTTTGGAAATGCTTGGCTATTTGCATTAATCATGACATTCCTAAAAAACAAGTTCAGGACAAAGCCTCAATTTCCAATCTTTAAATTCTGCTGCAGCCATTCCTGTCTAGACATTGCAGGGTCACCTGCAGCCGGGAAGGAAGTTCCCTAAGGATTCTGAATCTGGGGACCTACCCCAGCCCAGGTTCCTCGGATGATCTGGGACTCTTCTAAGGAATCATAGCTCTTCCCTGGTTCTGGAACATACTAGGAGAGCTACTAACTGTTCCTACCCTGTGGACCAGAAAATGAAACCTGGGGGAGTGGATGCGGCAGCCAGGTTAGTGGGTGGGTCAGGAACTGCCAAGTGCTCTAGTGAACAGTGCCCTTGTGCCAGGCAGGTGACACAGTGTAGTGCAGACACACTGGCACGTGGGTGCAGTGGCCGCACCTACTCTGACTCTCAGCCTCTGAGCGCCCCATCTTTTGCCATGGTGCACTATATCTTTCCATTGACAATCTCCTTCCCAAACCGAAATAGAATGAAAGATCACCACCTCTTCGGCCTGGCTGTGCCCACACCTTCTCTGGGAAGGCACCCAGGATTCTCTGATCATTAGTCTCTGGTTCCCAGAGGCATGGCACCTTCTGGAGTGACTGGTGCACTCCCCCAGCAGCCTGCACTTGCTCCTTGCTCAGGAAGCCATGATGCTGAGAGCAGCTACAGCTTGTCCTCACCAGGTGCACAGAGGTGCTTGGTGGTTTTGTGTCCATTCTGGCTCTGCCTGTGTTTGCAGTTCCGATGTACCTGGAGCACCACACCCACTCTGAATCCCTGTTTCCTAGGCTTTTCTGGGCCCATGAATCTCCTGCAAAATATTGCCTGGAAGACAGATTTCTGGGTCCCCTCCAGAGAAGGGGTGATGCAGCTGGTGCTAAGTGACCTGAGACTCGGCCTTTAGCACCACCTCTTAGAGAGATGCAAGTGATCTGGGGTGAAAGGTGAAATTAACTTGCCTCCCCCAGCAGGTCTCTGTGCTGCCATTTCAGCTGGATTGATGCTTAGGGATGGAGCTGTTACTTTTAGACCTAGGCGAACGGCTCATCTAGCTGGGATCCTCAATGCTGGCTGCATATCAGAATTATGTTAAAAAGAATTTATGTGTGTGTGTGTGTGTGTGTGTGTGTGTGTGTGTGTGTGTGTGCATGCACATGTGTGTGCACGGGCAGTGCTCAGAGCTTACTTGTCAGTGCTCAGGGCTTACTTCTGGCTCTGTGCTCAGGGATCATTTCTGGCAGTGCCCAGGAGGCTCTGTGGGATGCCAGGGATTGAACTCCTTGCAAGGCAAGCACGCTAATCCTTGTATTATTTCTCCAGCCCCTCCCAGGTTGCTCACTATTGAAACAGGCTCTGTAGAGGAGGAGCCCAGGTTTAGGTACTTCTGGAGAAAAAAAAAAAGAATCCCCAAAGGAATGGCAGGCAGAGAACGTGAGATCAATCAACCTCCTCTAGGGAAGAAGTGTTTGTCCTGCTACCGAGAGGCGAGAGGCGAGAGGCCCGTTGCCGTGTGTGGGGCTCCCTTGAGCAGCCCCAGTGCATGCGCCTGGCTGGCCTCACCCTCCTTGCAGTTGTTCCTGGGCATTCCAGCCTGGGATGTAATTTCAGGACTTGCTTCTCAAAATAGACCAGGAGCTCTGTGGGCTGCACTCTGGGGGCACTGTTTGGCTTCCCTGTCTTAGGGCTTCAGGGTAGAGGCTGTTAATGAATCATCATTCCCTTGTTCTTGTGTCTGTTAGTAAAACTGCCATACGTGGGCCATGGGAGATATTTTGGATAGGCCACCTGTGAAGAAGGAGCTTTGCTTACGACAGAATTTGGTCATCTGCGTTAACTTTCTGTCCTGTTCATTTTTCAGACTCTAGTGTGATTATTCATGTCCTTCCCTTTGCAGATTTAACTCATTAAACACATATTTATTGAACACTTACTACACGCTGCATGTTGTTTGAGGTGCTGGGAATGGATGCCTTTCTCTAAAAACAAGACCAAGTCCCTGGTCTTTAATCTCAAATGTGCTATTTTCTTGTCAGTTGCATCTCCTAGGTCTCCACTTGGATTTCAACCTGCTTCCCTGGGCTCTATCAGCTGAAAACTCAAGAGCTGCTATTGTCTTTCCCTCTCTCCCTTCCTGCCAGGTCCTCCCCTTCTCCCCAGGGGTTTCCTTCCCTCTCTTCTATCTTCTAGGCACTTCTCTGACTCTAGCCAGACGCTTTGGGGCTTAAGTGATGCTGGAGATTGAACCCAAGGCAGTTGCATGCAAAGCAAGTGCCCCATCTGCTGTACTATCTCTCCAGCACCCTCTGAACCTGGCAATTTTGTTGTTGTTTTGGGCCACACCCCATGTTGCTCAGGGATTACTCTTGGCTCTGATCTCAGTGATTATTCCTGGTAGGCTTAGGGGGAATATGTGGTGCCAGGGATTGAATCCTGGTTGGCTGCATGCAAAATCTGTCCCAGTTTCTCCATCCTGCCAGAAAAGTTTGAGGTTTATTTTCATATAATCCTGGTAATATTTTTTTAAAAGTATCATTACGCAAGTATTTAACAGAATTTTGTTTGTATTTGGGCCACCCCCAACAGTGCTCAGGCTTACTTCTTGTTCTAAGAGCTAGAATCACTCCTGTTGATGCTGAGGGGACCACAATGTAGGGTGGCAGTGATCAAACCCTGGTCAGCGGAATGCAAGTCAAGCCGTCTTTTATGCTCTCTTGCCAGCCCCCTGAATTGCTTTTAATTGCTTTTTTTTTTGCTTTTGGGGTCACACCCGGTGATACTTGAGAGTTGCCCCCAGCAGTGGTCAGAGGATGATGTTGTGCTGGGGGTCATAACCAGGGATTCAACCCAGGGCTTCTGAATGTCAGGAATACGGTCCTGGCCTTAGACATCTCTGTCTGACCCTGAACTGCTTTCTGTTTTCCTGTTATTTGGGGGATGGGTGGTAAAAGTGTTTGTGCTCTTTATAAATGAAGGATATTAGCACTCTGTCACTGAGAGTACCTTCCCAAGTACTAATGGTCCTGTTGAGTTTAAAGGCGACCCCTACGGCGTACAGCCCATCACAGCCAGTGTACCCACCTCCCACTGCCTCTTCCTGGCTTCTGTTTCCCAGAAAGTGAAGTTTCAGGATTTAGAAAGATGGAGATAAGGGTAACAAGAAGAGGGAAGGAAGTGACAGCTGCAGGGCTCTTGAGGTGTATGGGCATGAGTCAGGGCAATCATCAGAGTCTACCTTCCTTTTCTGTTAGGGGTCCCTATGCAAGGAAGGAAAGTGGCCTTCCTTCCACAAAAGCCAGGGGTATTTTTGATGTTGTTGTTGTTTCTTTGAGCCACACCCAGAAGTACTCAGGATTATTCCTAGCTTTGCACCCAAGGATCACTCTTGGCAGTGCTCAGGGAACTGTATGAAGTGCTGGGGACCGAACCCAAGTTGGCTGGGTGCAAGGAAGGACCCATCTATTCTACTATCGCTCCATCCCTACCAGGGTTATTTTTTCCTTTTCTTTTTTTAAATTAAATTAAAGTT